CAGACATGGCTTAATCGATTTCTTTTTTCATCCTGATCATTTATGTAAACATTTGTCTATATCTATCTTGGCTGTTACAAACAACCGTTATGTGTACATATATATAAAAACTATTGCCTAGTTCCCTTTGTGCGGTTGTTGAGTAAAAGTGCTAGAACGAAAATTTAGAACAAATTGAAGAAAAAGTTTTTGCATTCTCATTGTGAGTGTTGCATGCAGAGGAAAGTAGGAAGTTCGGCGCTATTTAAAAACACAGACGCTCTTTTCTATGCAGTCAGTCAATTGGAATGAGCGTCGAATTCAAACCGACTTTGAAGAAAGGCGGGATTTCGTTTATGATTTTTATATGGAATAATAATCGTTTATAGCACCGAGGGCTACTTTGAAACCATTGCTATGCTTTGCGAACACCGGTTAAATTAACTTCAAACTTAATTGATTCCCAAAAAAATTTATTTATTAATAAAATGTAAAAAGCTAGCTAAAATAAAGGAAAGCACATAAATAAAGAACATTCGTTATATTGTGACAACAACAGTTTGCTCTTAAATAATAAAGCAGTGTTTTCATTATGATTCGTAAATCGATTTTTCGGAAAAAGATAACACTGGTTCCATTTCGTCACCCAAAATGTAAAAATCTGTAACTAACAGAAAACTTTTCTTCGAATTAAAAGTCCCCACATCGTTTGACGCAAAAAAAATGTTAGTTACGAATCTTTGCATTTGTAACTTTTTTATGGAAATTGTCTTTTTTCCCCTAAATAGATAGAGTATATTCGATTAAGAATGTCCACGATTTAGCTTTCCCTGATTCCATATATACACATTTGATGTTGCCTTTTTGACGTAGAATACGTATTACCTTACGATATGGAGGCTATGCTGAAATGTTGTAGTTGTAATTTCTAGAGCTTCACGAAAACGCTTATTGCATGAGAACTAATGAAGCGATTTCAAAAAACAGTGTGGCGTTTTAAAGATAAAATTCCAAACCTAACGACAGATTCATTTTTGTAAGTAACCAATTCGGTTTCCGTCGTAAAAAGAACGGTAAACATTGGCTTATTTTGGGGTAAATTTTGAGCTTTTAAAGTGCTCCAGCAGCTTATGATTTGCAGATATAACTTTCGTTTTCGGAATATAGATTCTTCGGAACAATAAAAATATTATCGTGTACAGATTTTATAAAAAATCAACAAGTATACCAAAATGCTCGAAAACCGCTCGAATGATTTTGTTTTTGTTTCTTTAATCAAAACTTTAAGAGTTTTCCTTTCGTTTGGTGTATGGGAAGTATTGGCCGATATCTTCTAAGTATATATATTTTATTCAAATATATGGGCATAAATGATTTCCCATACAAAATCACTTCGTCATCGTTTTGCAAACACGTGCATGCGTTGGAAGTGAGGAAACGAGACAAAAAGTATGTATGTGTACGTAAGTACATATTTGGGCATTTGATAAACAGATGGCGCAATGTTTATAACTTAATCGCAGCATAAGTACATATGTAAGTAGATACATACGTACATATGTTGATTGCAGTTAATGTGGATCTGTTTCTATATTTTAGTAATCTATGTATGTCTATACATATTATGTATGTACATACATATATCGTCGTTTAAAGTACAAAACCGCGTATCGTCATTCTGCAAAACGGCGTAACTGACATTGGCTGCCAAAAATTGGATTTGCTCACACAAGCTGTTGGCTCAATCCTTATCCATTCGTCCTGAAATATACTAGCCATAAATGCGATTACTTTATAAAAATGAGAACCATTTTGAAATATGAGTGTTTTAACGCTCTAGAAAATAGTTTCTACAAGTTCATATACGCGGTTTTGCATTTTGCTGATACGCGGTTTTGCATTTTGTTGATACGCGGTTTTGCACTTTAAACGACGATATGTATGTATGAACACATGTATGCATTATACGTGAAACAACACTTAGAAAAAGACCAATCCAAGATTAAAAGTATAGGTGAGTGTACGTACACAGCAGTGGCGGATTAACAATCTGGTGGGCCCTGGTGCGAAATTTTTTTGGGGGCCCTTTTCCATATAAATATTTTGCGATTAGAATACAGTTTGATCGTTATAAATTTAAATTGCGGTTCATGTAACATATTTGATCATTGGACGTTGTTTTGCTCTGTGCATTAAACGCACTACTCCATAATATTGATGTCATTTTATATTGACATTTTTTGGTTATTGTTATAGTCAGTGTTTAAAAAACTGCAATAACTTTCATTTCATTTGCTATCACTTAAAGTTACTGCTCTGAACAACAAAGCAGTCGTAGTGTTTGTAGTGCCTTTTAAAAATTATGATTTTGATTTGATTTTGATTTCGTCAGCGCAACAAGTCAAAGTAAGTAAGTAAGGTTTGCTTTTGCAAGTTGTATTCAGCAGCAGTCGTGAAATATGAAAATCAAATTGATTGCAAATATGTAATTTATAATATCAAGCAGCAAAGAAAAAACCTTGCGAAGTCGTCGGCAAACACAAAACAGCATCGCTTATTGCTTGCAAAAAGTTTGATTTTCATATTTCACGACTGCTGCTGCACACAACTTGCATAAGCAAAGAAAATCCAAATCAAATCAAAATCAACAGTTTGAAAAGGCGCGACAAACAAGGCGCCTTGCTTTTTGTTGCTTTCCAGTTTTTGATTTTGCATGAACTGCGACTGCTGAAAATTCCTAATATGGTAAGCACACGCAATTACTCATTTTAAAAAGCGACGATAAGTAAAATCAAAAATAATCAACATTTTCACGACTTTTGCTACTTCGACTCAAGTTTTTTAAACACTGGTTATAGTCATTTCGTAAACATGGATAAGTCTAGAAAATATAAGAGTGGAGCTGAAAAGCGCAAATTAAAAAAAAATAAAGACGAACGCGAACTGCTTTCTAAAATACCGAAACTAACAAGCCACTTCGCTAATGCGACGACAACTGTAAACGAAGCAAATTGTGACAATCCTGAGTTTTGTGAATCTACTTCTGATACTTTTTCAATTCCATCAACGTCAAGAGAGGTTAATTTCCACCATGTTGACAGCACGATCGAAGGTGTACAAAATCCGGACGATGTCGAAAGTTCGGTGAATGTATCAAAAATTTATGAAAATTCCACCAATGTGTTTTCAAATGACCCTGGTTTGTGGCCTATTCAATTCAATCAATCAATCGTTCAAACTTATTGGATTAAGAAGGGTATGCTATCGTTGGTATTTCAATATAAGAGTAAAAAAATTAACACAGAATACTCTTATTTAGGTCCCTCGTCGTGTCGCAATATTGATTTGATCGCAAAGAAATCTGGACAAAGAAACTTTTCTGAATATCATTTGCATCGGGTTTTACCAAATGGAACACAGACCGAACGTGATTGGCTGATCTATTCGCCGTCAGTCGATTCAGTATTTTGTTTTGCTTGTCGCTTGTTCGGTAATTTAGACGAAAATGCAAGTTCATTTGCTCTAAAAGGTTTCAATGACTGGAAACTATCAAAGCGTGGTATTTCAATTCATGAACAATCTCATGATCACATGTCCAACAATGTCAAATACAAAATGCGACTAAAAACCGATTCTTCTATAGAAAAAACATTCGAAAATTCACTTGTCAATGACATGACTTATTGGAGGAAGGTTTTGAGTCGTGTTGTAGAGGTTATCAAATTCCTAAGCTCAAGGGGTCTTGCGTTACGTGGTCACGATGAAATTCTTGGGTCCAAACATAATGGAAACTTTCTTGGATGTTTGGAGCTGTTAAGCAAATTCGATCCATTTTTGGCAGAACATATCACACGTTTTGGCAATAGAGGAAAAGGTATACTTCTTCAAAATAACTTCGAAAATGATTTGTCTCTTCATTTGGTATGTTTTTTTTGCAGGAAGAGCTTCGTACCTTTCAAGTTCAATATGTGATGAATTCATATCGATTATGGGAAAAGGTGTGAAGGAAAAAATCGTTTCGGAGATAAAAGAAGCCCGTTATTATTCATTTAGCATTGACTCTACTCCGGATGTGAGCCATACGGATCAGCTGTCACTATGTTTTCGATACGTAAAAGGCCGTGACATTCACGAACGGTTTATTGCTTTCATTCCAATTTAAGGTCACACAGCAGACTATCGTTTGTCTATCGTTTTGAATTTCCTAGAGGAGAGTAAAATTGACATGCAAAACTGCAAAGGCATTTCATTTGATAACGCTTACAATTTGGCTGGAATTTATGGTGGCCTTCAGCGTTTGATTATTCAACGAAATGAATCGGCGATTTTCGTGCCTTGCACTGCTCACTCACTGAACTTAGTGGGTAAAAATAGTGTTTCTAAAAACATTACCGCATCTAATTTTTTTGATATGATCGAAAAATGGTATGGTTTTTTTGTTTATTCATCTTTTCGTTGGAATCGACTCAAAGAACAATTGTCCGAGAAAGGCGAATTTATGTTAAAGAGAGCAACTGGCACAAGGTGGTCGGCTAAATTCCAATCAGTTCAAGCTTTGCACTCATGTTACTTGAAAGTGTTAACTGTTTTGAATTCTCTCATTTCTGAAAAAAGCCTCAGTGAAGATAACAAAGCATCGGCAAAAGGTTTGATAGCCAAATTGTGCCAATTTAAAAATATTTTAATGCTTGTCTTGTGGAAAAGTGTTTTGACTAAATTTAACTTTGCAAAGTTAGCTTTACAAAAACCAAATCTGACTCTTTCGACGATCACAAAACTATATGCTTCAATAGTTACAGATCTTGAAAACAAGGATTACAACAAAATTTTCGATGAAGCCTTGACAATTTTCGACAATATTCCTTCTGATTTTCAAGCAGATTTTATTCAGTCTCGTTCAACAGCGCAAGCACTTGTTCCAGAAGATGGGAAAGAAAATTTTAAAAAATCGTTATTCGAACCTGTTATCGATGCTCTGTTATCAAATTTGAAAAAACGTGCTGATATTTATAATGATTTGGAAGACTTTTTCTCATTTTTAATAAATTTAAATTCAATGAGTGACGAAGACATCGCTGTATCATGTAAAAAAGTAGTCGAAAAGTATCCAAATGATCTCAATGAAGTTCAACTAACTGATGAATGTCAATTTGCCAAAAATTACTTTACTTTTGATAACTTAAATCATGAATCGATGTACAAAACAATGTTCGATGATCATCTTTGTGAAACTTTCCCGAATTTAGACATTTTATTACGCATTTATTTATGCATGTTTGTCACTAATGTTACAGATGAAAGATCATTTTCAAAATTGAAATTGATAAAAAATTGTTTGCGTAACACTATGGGAGATGATCGTTTGAACAGTCTATCAGTTCTTTCCATTGAAAATAACTTGTTGGATGAATTAAACTTTGATGAAATTATTGATAAGTTCGTAACACTCAAGTGCAGAAAAGTTGTGGTTTAATTTTGTTGGGCAAATAAATAAAAATCTATCATATTATCATATGAATATTTTTTTTCATTGGCCCCCTTGAGTCCGGGGCCCTGGGGCAATGGTCCCAAAATTTGTTCGATAATCCGCCACTGGTACACAGATAAAGAAAAGGATAAAAGCAAAGGTAAAAATAAAAACAAAAACAAAGTTGCGTAAAGATAAAGGCACAAATGAAGACCAAGGTAAATGTAAGAACTTTACTAAATAAGGGCAAAGGTGTAGGGGAATATGTATATGAAGAATATGATAAACATAATAATAAAAACAAAGATAAATGTAAAGAAAAAGATGAGGATGAGGATACCGATAAAAGTATAGATGAAGATAGAGGAAGAAAGATTAAAATAAAGGTAGTTTTAGAGAAAAGGATATAGATAAAAGCACAGAGACTCAATCTGGGAACTATTTTGTCATTTTAGAGATTT